GTCTTCTGCGAGATCTAATAGAAGTGGCGATCGGATTGGAAATATGTCTATAACTCGAATCCCTTGGATAAAAATTACATAAGATGCAATTATTGTGAAAAGGATACAAATGGGGGCATAAATCAATTTAAATAACATCTTTCTGATATCAAGGGGGATGTTGCCCTATATAAAAAAGTTCCTGATTAGAGAACAGGTAAAGAAACTTATGAGAATTGTAAAAAGGAAAAAAGATGAGCGAGAAGCATCCATAACAGAGCTGAGGTCTGGGCTTGTGTCAATTTTGATGATGATAATAGTGTGATCGAGAGGGGTGTAAAGAGTTGGAAACTAGGGGAAATGGGCTTGGGATGAAACCCCTTTCCCATATGAGCTTTCAGAGCCTCTTTTGAGAAACGAAGTGATTGTCATGAGGGACATTGTTGAGGCTCCGAAGGATGCATGGGCTCAGCATGGAGTTTCTGTTATGACTAATACTTGAGAAGAAGGCAGATGAATGTGCTGGAAAATTATCCTTGAAGGATTGTTTTTTTGAGGTCTATTGATGCCTATGATTAAATCCATGATGCCCATTACATATTTCAAGTGATAGAGAAGGGCATCAAGGAGGTTGGAAACATGTTATAGAGCTTGTCACAGATGATGATGCTCCTAATGTTGCTGCTGCTAATTTGTTGCACATAGCTTACCCTAGTACTTTTGGACACCACGCACAGCACACTATATAGACCTCATGCTTGAGGCTCTTGGTGGTTTAAGTGGTAATTTCAGGTGTAGTTAAGAAGGCAAAATCAGTGATGAATTTTATTTATAACCACACCCTCACCCTCAATATGATGTCTAGATTTACAAAGGAGATTGTAAGGCCATGGGTCACGAGATTTGCTACCTGGTACCTATGTATAGAAAGCATACATCCAAGAATCCAATTGAGGCAGGTGTTTACCTCGGATGAATGGAGAGCATGCAAGTGGTCCAAGGATCAGAAAGGGAAGTAGGTGAGAGATATTATTCTTTCTAAGGCTTTCTAGCAAGGGGTGAAGGGGGCTCCTAAGGTTTAATTTTATTCATCTTGTCAAAGTCCTTCGCATGGTTGATAGTGACAAGCCGTCCATGGGTTATATGAGACAATGGAGAGATGCAAGAGAGAGATAGCCCATAATTTAGATGATGATTTGAGCCGCTATGAGCCTGTTTGGAAGATTTTTTTTTTTTTGAGAACTGTTAACATTGTATTACTAAGACAATAATAATTACAAAAGTGGGAGAGACCGAGAGCACCTACTAAGGGTGGCTTTCGGTAAAAAAATACATCAGTCAGTCACGTACAAAAATAGTTTATAAGTCCCGCTCAGATACAATGATTTACAGTGGTTTTTCAAAAAATAAGATTAAGGCTGAGGAGTGCCCGTGTCGAGGGAGGCTACGTAGTGCGGCTGTGGTCCTAAACAAAAAAGCAGTAGGACCTGGCCTGTTCTTCTACTTGGAATCTAGCTCCCTCCTTTGCCATGAGAGCCTGTTTGGAAGATTATTGATGAGAAGTGGGATAGGAAGATACATCGGCCATTGCATGCAGCTGGTTATTTTTTAAACCCAGCTTTTTTTTTTCATGCTGATAGGGATCTACACACAAATGACACAATAGGCGATGCTTGTTAAGAGAGATAAGAGGGACCCCCTCAAATCAAAAAATATGAATAATGCCATGGATTGGTTGGTTGATGACGAGGTCGAGAAGAATGAAGGATTGACATGGGATATGATCATGGAGGCCTTAGGGACATCAGCAACCCTCCAACGGCCACTAGATCTTCTCTTATTGGTTGTGTACTATGGTTTGTAAATTTTTAAGTTTTAACTATGTGTGGACTATGGATATGGACTTATGGAGTATGGAGGAGTGTATTTGGACTTGTGGACTATAGACATTTGCTGTGCCCCCTAACTCTTATGTCTTATTTCTTATTTTCTTTCATTTTCTTGATGAAGAATTGATGTCTTGCTAAGTTGCCATCTTGGATTATAGACTAAAATATGGCTCAATATATATTTTTTAATGTCTCAATTTGAAATGCATGTATTATGGACTAAAATATGTCGCTATGTATTTTTTAATTTGTTACACAAAATCTGACTTTAAAACAACTTTTTATTCTGCTGAACCACCACCTAAGCGCTAGGTAGCCTGAACCCCCCCGGTCGCTTAGGCCCCGCCCAGAGTTTTCTAGAACACTAGCCGCATGACAGAAGTTTTGAACAATGGAGGCCTCCTCTTAATATATAACCCTTGCTAAATCAATCAAACCATATCGTTGATTGCTTTAGGCTATAAATAGCATTTTTTAGCCGACAAACCTTCTAGAAGGCCTCAAGAAAACCTGGCAAAGGCAAGCATATAGACTTCCTGTTGTAAGTTTCCATAAGGAAAGCATTTTTGACATCCAATCAAAAGAGACACCATCCATCCTCTATAGATAGCGACCAACAGAAGAACCTAAAAGATTGTCATCATAGCAACAAGTGCAAAAGTTTTCTAATAATCCCGCACTTCAGAGTGAAAACCTATTAGGGAGCTTATTTGGCTCCAAATTTAGGAAGTCTAAAGGAATCTTCGAAACGTTTAGAGGATACTCATTTTCACTAGTTGTTGGTCGAGATTTACATCTCTCCTAATAAGTGCATTAATTACCCGATTTTCTTTCCTTTGTTTTCTTTTTTTTCTTTAGTGAAGGCTTGTAAGTAAATGCATTGGTTGGATCCACTATCTTTGTTTCACTAGGAGACTTTGTCTCTCCAAAAGGCTGCAAAACAATCTACTTATTCTTAACCTTGAAGAAGTAGGTGTTAGCCTCACCATCATGCTCAACCTTGGTACCATAAACTAATCATCCCCATAAGATATGGTTGACGATCATGAGAAGGACATCACAGCATATGATATGGTTGACGATCATGCGTGGTAAAAATAACATTGGCAAAAATAACAATGGCATCACCAAGGCAACCATATATAGTCATCTATACCTCTCAAACTTCAAATTGAACACGTCGACAAGCCCTTGTTAAGTTATGTTAACAATGACTTCCTCACAATGATGAGGTTGCATATACTTCACACTAGACTAATGTCCAAAAGAAACTAGTTTTCTTCCAATCTTTAGGCTCATCATTTAAAAGAGAGAAAGCAATGGTTGGAGAACAAGGACTTTCCCGATATCCTTTAATGATTCTTTCATCTTCTAGGTGGTTATACTTCTCTTTGAGTGCATTATAGACAAGTTTGAACGTCCAAACCACCAGTTACAGTTTAGGGAATCTCTTCACCAAAAGAAGGAAATGGTCTCAATCCTTTAAGTGGAGGCTCCCCCAATTCTAGGAAAGAGTTGTAGAAGCACTCTCTCTACAAAAATAGTTGAGATCTGTCATCTAAAGGTGGCCTCTCACCACAATTAAAAGCCAAATTTAATTAGTCAACTTGATTTAAGCCTACTGCCTACATTGCTATTTAAAGAGGATTCAGTCCCTCTTTGTTTGACTTAACTAGGGACTCTAAGGACTCAAGCTATCTCTATTTTCTTAAACTTCCTATATCTTTAAACTCTTCCAATGTGAGGTAACTAGCCCCTTTATAGTTTTAAGGAAACTAGACATGTAGAAAACATGGAAAGAATGATTCTAGCCTCCTAAAAAAAAATAGGAAACCATCTAACTTGCAAAACAAGGAAAGAAACAACTTACTAAAATTTTAAAGGCTCAAATTTCTAATATGTGCAGCCCACAATCTTCTAGAATATCTATCTTTCTAGAAGATTTCTTAGGTTGGCTACCCTAGTGTTATAGACCAACATATATCCTACAATCCATGAGAAGGTAAACTATACATAAACTTGAAATTATCGGGACTGCCAGTGGTAATAGAAACTACTCAATTACTTGGAGTAGACAAACTTCCAAATACATTATAAGCAACACAGCATCTAAGTAAGCAAGCAATATCTTGCATTTGGGCTACAAAAAATAACTGGCAGTTTCTGTTGTCCTTTTGCTATGTTCAACACATGCTCATCTTCAAGGGAGGATGCCCCACTCATAGACTCATCATTTGTGCTCAAAAGTTGTATTTCAGTTCGCATTTCATAAAATTTTGTTCCACTCGCAATGCGAGAGCATGTCTCCGAAATCATATTTTAAACTTATTCAGTTCTTGCTAATCTAATAGTATACATAAGTGTGTCATGACTCTTAAGTCTTAGTAATTGTATTCCAGTAGAAGCACAAAGAGTTGGATTCTAGCAAGGATTGCTACATGTTAAGTTCTACAACTGTTATACGTGAAACCCTTTAAGTGTGTGTACGCACAATATACAAGAAAATTTCACATTTTTATTAGTTATTCTTATTATTGACTAATATACTCCACCCTAGAGGCAAGCCCTTCTACGGTCATTTTTTACTATTATTCACTTCACTATCAACTAGAAAAGGATAATGAATACGTCAAAGTATTAAACAAACACAACTGACCAAACAAATAGAACAATAGAATGTATTACAATGCCCAGAACATGTATATTACCACAATTTCAAGGTTCATATAAGGGTTAATCCAATATGTAGAGAAAGAGGGAGGAAGAGAGAGAATAGATAAGAGACAAGGAGTACAACGGAGATGATTCCAGAAACCAGTATATACATCTGAGAAAAGAAGATCACAAATTTCTCTGCTCTGGAATCCAAGACAGAATAGAAAAATATATATTTCCCCTACAGAAAAGAAATAACAGCACCGATCCAGCAATCCACTTTCAGAAGTATGCAAACTCATTCCTTTTTGCTCTTTTTTGCTCTTTTTTGCTCTTAATGGTAGTTGAGCTAAGTCACAAGAACTAGGGTTTTGAAAGATTCAGCGAGAACGAACATCAAATAAAAACAAAAAGGTCCAACGAATGCACCACACCGAAGCAAGAGAGAAAAAGATGAGAGAAAGGCGTGCAACTCACCGTTGAAAAATTATGGAAAAATGTGATGAGAGCAAGAGAGAGCACCATGGCATGGCAGAACGAAGAAGAATAAAATAAAGAAGCCTCTTCTTAGTGGCCGTGGGTGGGAGACACACCAAAATGCGGGGAGATAAAGGAGAGGCGAGGCGTGGCGAGGCGAGGCGAGGCGAGGCGAGGCGCTGAGGGTGTAAAAAGACATGCGTGAAGCAAAATATCCCTGTGTCTCTTGGCCGGAGTAAATGCGTCAAATTCCCCGTCAACTCGTCCCACTCGCCATGTGGATGAGAACCACTTTTCTAAGAAAACATGTGCTGTTTGAGGAGGCGGATTTGCTGGTAAACAAGGGAGCTAATATACTCATATTGTGTTGTTTGAGGCGGCGGATTTGTTGGTACTAATATACTCATATTTTCAACAAATTGGAAAAAAAAACCTAACTTTTCAAAACCTTATCCACACCTTTTTGTCTCATTTTCACAAAATTTTTGGTGAAAATATTTTTTATGGTAGTCATTGTACCATTAAAACAATTACGGTATTTTTAATACCGTAATCTAGATTAGTGAATCGATATTATTAAAAAAAAAAACACCAGTACGGTACTTTTAGTACCGTAATGATTTTAAATAACATTACAATACTAAAAGTACCATAACGCTCTAAAATAAGAAAAAAAAAAAAACCATTGTGGTACTTTTAGTACATACCTTAATGGTTTAAATAACATTACAGTACTAAGAGTATCGTAATACTCCAAGATTAGTTAATCAATATAAGTTTTAAAAAAAAATAAAAAACATTACTGTACTTTTAGTACCGTAATAGTATTAAATAGTATAACGGTACTAAAAGTACCATAGTGCTCCAAGATTGGTCAATCGATATAATTAAGTGAAAAAAAAAAACCATTACGGTACTTTTAGTATGGTAATGGTTTTAAATAACATTACGGTAATGCTCCGAGATAAGAAAAAAAAAAACCATTACGGTACTTTTAGTACCGTAATGGTTATAAATAACATTATGGTACTAAGAGTACCGTAATAGCCCAAGATTGGGACGAATCAATAATTAAGAAAAAAAAACCATTACGGTACTTTTAGTACTGTAATGGTCTAAAAAACCATTGCGGTACTAAGAGTATTGTAATGCTCATTATGGTACTTTTAGCACTGTAATGGTCTAAAAAACCATTGCGATACTAAGAGTACTGTAATGCTCATTGCGGTACTAAGAGTACTGTAATGCTCATTACGGTACTCTTAATGTTCTTAAAGAACATTACGGTCATAAAATAATCGTAATTGTTTTTACAGTACAACGACTACCGTAAAAGGCATTTTCGTTCGAAATTTCACAAAAATGGGGCAAAGGGTGTGGGTGAGGTTTTGGGAAGTTGGGGGTTTTTTTCCAATTTCTTAAAAATACGGGTATGTTAACGATAATTTCCCGGTAAACAACCTGTGGCGGCCGTCAACTCATCCAACACCCATGGTCGGGCCTAGCCTAGGCCAAACTGACCTGATTCAGCATGGCCTGGCCTTATTTTGTTTATTTTTTCTTTGATTTTATTTTCACATTAATTTGGCCTTGCCCTGCCCTCTCCTGTTCAGCCCAGCCTTCATAGGGCAAGGGTTGTGCTACGATTGGGTGTTTTTGGCCTAGTCAGGGTTGGGCTTGGCCTATGAGGACTACGATAGAGGTAGGGCCAAGGGGCGGCCCTGCCCTGCCCATTACCACCCCTAGACTAGGAAAACCTTATGTGTTTATAACAATAAAATAACCTAAGAGGAAAATATTTGAAATAGTTAAACTAATTTAAAATAAAGTGAATATAATTTTAAGAGAATGTATAGAATGAGACCATTTACTTTTGGTACAAGGTGAGACATTAATCTTGACAATAGGATGTGAAATTGAGTGGCTACAATTATTTCATTGATCAAGCTCAAATTTCAAAAAAAAATTTATTGAAGTTTGTAACACATCCAAGCTATCAAACTTTACATTAGATGGTTGTAAGTAATTGTGACATCCTTGTATCAAAGGTAAATGATCTCAGTGTATACATTCGTTAACTTTAATATCTATGTTGACAATTTAGTATTGGGGTCATATTGTCCCCCAATACTTTCGTACTTTTGATACCTACTAATAACAACAAAATTATTTATTTTTGCATCCAACCCTCTCCCCCCCCCTCCCTACTAAAAAAAAAAAGTTTGATTTTCTTGTTATCAAAATACCCTCATTTTAACACATGTTTCCTACCTTTTCTCTTTAAGCCGGTCTGGCACCAATATAGAAGCTAGTCCGTCACCAGTACAACTTCAAAATAAGCTGGTCTGACACATTTGTACTAAATCGACAAAATTTGAATATCAAAAGCACATTTTTTGTCAAACCGGCACTTTTTGTCCAAAGCTGGTCCGAGACATTTTTATATGCTGGACGATGCATGTTAGGTGTTACAATTTAGAAATGTGGGTTAAACTAGAGGGAGGGGGGTATATTTGTCCAAAAAAAAATTACTTGAGGAATGAATGCAAAAATAAGTAGTTTTGAGATTCGTAATGTGGTATCAAAAGTATTGGGGTGAGGCATGTCTAGAGTGTATAAATTGAGGGGTATTTATAATTTTTTCAATTAAAAAATACTTTAAATTTTCCTATTTTATATGCTTGCTTTTTAATTCCTTTTTGTTAAAAAAAAAAAAAAATTCCCCTTGGTTTGGAACCAATTCTTAACTGACTTGACTTCTGTAGCATTTTAGATTTGTTATTGATTCATAATTCCAACCTCCAAAGCATTTATTTTAAAAAAAATGAGGTTGGGAACTTAGAGGTCTAAACTATTTCTTTTTAAAATTTTGGTTCAAATCTTCGAGTTCTACACAGATTTTAACAAAAATATATGTCAAATACACTTATATTGCATTTCTTACTGAATTGTAATTCAAACCTTCAAGTTTAAAACATGTTTTTTTTGTGAATGCGCAACTTAGAACTTGGAGTTCAAATTGCTTTTTCTTTTAACTTTTTGTCAATAAGCAATTTGGAACTTGATATTCCAAACAACTTAAGGTCTTTTGTAACTTACATGTTCAAACCTTGAGATTTAAGTAATATCAGGGGAATCACACAAGATATACAAAACAAAATTTTTCAGAATTATTTACATAAACTTCCATTGAACTATGGGAAAACCCATATTTACTACAAACTACAAAATCAAAATTACAATAGTCTTTATTCATCAACAACTTCTTTACAGATCGAACATAACTCTTTTACAATTCTTCTGAAACAAATACAATAAATGGAAAAGACTAAAAAGTAATGTACATGAGTTTAATATCTCTTATGGGAAGGCAATTTCAAACAACCACCACACAAAAACCGCAACGATATAATTATAACCCTTACTATCACTCACAAAGTGATAGCCCAAGAAAGGGCTGGTTTTGATCTAATCTCGGGAAGCAAACACACTACCCCCACATGTAACGACCCAAACTTCTCTTTTTAAACATAATGAAGTCGAGCGCGGCGATAAGGAGAGAAGGAAGAGAGCGAGCGACGATAGAGGAAGAGAGCGCGCAACGATTGAGGAAGAAGGCGTGCGGCGATAAGGAGAGAAGGAAGAGAGCCCGCGGTAATGGGAAAACAGAGCGCGCGGTGATAATGGGTGAAGGAAGAGAGCGCGCGGCGATAGAGGAAGAGAGTGCGTGACAATAGAGGAAGAAGGCGCATGGTGATAAGGAGAGAAGGAAGGGAGTGCGTGGTGATAGAGGAAGAGAAAGTGAGGTGATGAGAGAAGAGAGCACGGGGCGATAGGAGAGAAGAAAGGAAGAATGCGGTGATAGGAGAGAAGGAAAGAAGCGCACGACGATAGGAGGGAAGGAAGGATGCACGCGGCAATAGGAAGAAGAAGAGAGAGCTTGCATACGACGATAGAGGAAGAAGGCACCCGACGAAGTAGAAGAAGAGAAGGTCGTGCATGAAGCAAGTCGACCACCTGTTGGTTGCATGCTACTTTGTGCGCTAAATGTCAACTTTCCTTTCATGCAAAGGCCACTTGGCGAGCATAGAAATCCACCTCCCCACCTTTTGGAGTACAAAACCACTATTTCTCTCTTTACAGCTCACGTTTTGAAGCTCAAGCTTAACCCTTTGTGCCATTGTTGGAGAGTTTGAGAAAGCTTGGTGGAGGGGACTGTGGAAGGAGTTTGGGATCATCTTTGGAGACCCAAAGAGGTAAGTAGGTAACTACCCTGTAGACTCATAAGTATGAATTGAAGCATGAATTAGAGCATGAATGATGTATGAATCATATATGAATGAAGTATGAATCCAAGCATGTATAAAGCATGATTTAGGCATGAATGATGGTTGAATTTAAGCATGAAATTGGGCATGAGATGGCATAGAACTATGTGCAAGGAATAGGATAGCATGAATGTCATTGTGCTCTGTTTTTCCATAAAGTTTACTTTCTTTTGCCTGTTGGAAATGAGCACTGAAATCCTTTTGATGGCCCTGAAATTTCGTGGGGTAATACTCTTGTGAGTCTAGTTTAAGCTAGAATTGGTTTCATGTTGTTACCTTGCATAGATTAAGAGTTAGGAGATGATTTTGGAAAGGATATCATGGCTGGATTGTGATTTTTCAGGGATTTTAGATATTTTTGTAATGAGATTTTAACTAAGAAAATGATACCCTTTTGGCCTCAAATCACAACTAATTGAAGATCTTTGAGTCTACTTTGAGTTTGGTGTTTATGTTTAGTTGTGATTTTTGCTAGTTTGGAAGATATGTTTCATGTTGTGCTCATATGCCACAGTTGGCAGACTGTGAGGAATTCCAGAAGCATTGCCTCTGTTGCATTGAGGCTTTGTCTGCCCTATTGATGCCCAAATGATACAAAAATGCAGCCATTTGATAAATGCATGAGTCCTCTATGATTTTCATGTTTTAACCTTGCCCAAATTCTATGCAAACGAGGAGCTATACTCAATAATGCTCCAGTATGTCACTGTTGACAGACCTTATAGAAACTCAGAACTTAGTCTCTGTTGCCATGGATTTTGGCCGACCAAATGGAGCTTGATCGCTCCGAAACTACAGCCATTTGAAGCTTTGAATGTTTATTAAAAGTTGTATGTTTAAATTCTTTTGAAATTCCTGCTAGGTTGAAAGCTAGGATCTAAATTGTGAACATATGTCACTATTGGCTGAATTCAGTGAGGTTCAGAACGATATATTGAACCCTCAATTGATCAAGTATTGTTCAGTTAGCAAATTGGATTCAGAATTTAGTTGAATCTCCCTTCAT